GTGGATTTATAAATGTAATATCTTGCAAAAGAAAGACGATGAAATTTTTACAGACTTTTCATTCTCGTAACTTGATGTAGTTCTTAGTTGTTGTAAATGAATTGTTGACCATTCATATGAACGAAACTGATCACTTTTATTTTACAACCATTCATAGTTGAGATTTGTTTTAAGTTTTCATGACATGTTGCTGTTATGATCTTAATTCATATCACACAGTTTATAGTATCATTCAAGTAGATAAAGGCGATCAACTGTTATAATTTTTACGATGGCAGTGCGTTTGAATGAAGAATTGCATCAATTAATGATGCAACTCCAAAAATCCTTTAGCATATTCCAATAGCCATAATATAATAAAATTTAAATTCTTTTCATTCAACCTCATGATTACTTCTCCGCTATGTTCACATCGAGACATCAATATGAAATAATAATTTTCTTGTTTAAGTGTTATAAAAAGTGAACAAAATGAACAAGCAGCTTCACCATTTTAAAAATGTAAAAGTTCATATCTTCCTATTATGACCACAAATGATATTTCAATGATTACGTGACCTGGGTGAAGTTCCAAAGTACAACAATAAATCCACAGAGAACCATGGTACATAAATTTGTCATTTCTTTCATTACGTCACTTCCTGAAATAAAGCTTCTGCTTCTTGTATTAACGTTTGAATTAAGAGTTGACGATGGAATTTTACAGCCAAGCCATAAACATATCAAACTTTGCTAAAGTAACTTGCAGTATGTCCACTGATAATTGAGTTGATGTTGTTAAAAAATAATTCCCATAAAGTATTGATTCACGAAGTAAAAGTGTTCAAACCTTAACAATGCTTGATATCAGTTTTTCATTAAAAGTTAAAAATTTGTCATTAAACATCTCTCCATATGCGACATTGTCGTTTGTTTTCTGTGTCTCTATATAGCAAAACTTTCTTTGACTTTTGTTAACTTTTCCTGTTTATACGCTTTGGAGTGTTTAATCACAATGGTTAAATTGTTTATCACGATGAGGAACGTCAATCATGAAGTCATTTTTCTAATGGAGTTTACGATTTACTTTTTAACAGTCAGTGAGAAAGACAGCCAAATTTTTAGTTTTTCTGAAAAAATTAGCAAAGGTACCATTGTTTTATTGTAAATTTAATTTTTTAAATTGATAAAGATGAAAATATTAATATAACCGAAGTAACAATTGGGCTCACTTTGTCTCTCTTAACAGCTTAACACATAGATATTTTGTATATCAAAATGCAACAATTAAAAAGTATTAAGAAAGTATTTCAGTTCAAGATAGTATTGATTTAATAAGTAAAACTTGTTTTTGGTGTAAAAGAGTATCGAAAAACGTGCAATATTAAAACCATCCTACACTGAATACATTTGTATGAAAATTATATGTTTACATGGTGTAGATATAAACAAAATATAACCTATGGTACAATAACTAACAAACTTTTGCATGTTATATGTTTGTGTGATAAGATAAAAGTCAATAAAATTATTTTCTTGTGCAAGAAAATTATTATCTTAGACACGAAATCATTTGTGTTTATGGTTTGTCTTTATTGTCATTGAATTTTAATCTTTAATTAACTTCAGCTTTTATACATGATCTCTCTCAATGTTGACATTATCGTACACTGCAGTCTCTGTACAGAACAATCAAAATTAGACAAAGGTTGTTTCATGAAATCATACGCAAACAGACATTAATTGAAATGTCAACAATGATAGGAATCATGCATAAAAACTGAACACGATTTTCTTGAAGATAAATTAGTCATCATTCCAAATTGTGAGAAATTTTATCATTAAAGATCAAATTTATTCTCGTGGGAAGATGATTTTTACGCATTGTACCGGGACCTTTAAGGAAGAAAAAATTAAAGCAAGTTTGCGTTTACGACAGTAATATAAAGTTCTTGGAATTATATTCATACACGAGAGAAACAAATCTACAATCTTAAAATATTTCAAATCAATCAAATCTAAGTAATTACTAAGTATATACCTATCATCAACAAAGAAAAACTTTGGATCCAAGGAAACCTCAAAATAATTATAAACAATTTGTATGTTTTTAACGTCAAATACTTTCACATACTTACGCATGTAACTTACTAATAAATTATCTGCTGAAGGTGAAAAAGCAGCGTAAGTTATACTGGGAGTCATATCACGCATGTGCTTTCCAATGACTTTATCGGAGATTAAATTGGTGATTTCTTCCTTAATTACGTCATCCCAACCATTAACAAGTTTGTCTTCATGCCACATACAGTAAATTTTCTGATCCTTAAATTCAACTTTAGCAAACACGTGATACTTAGAGCTACATGCAAATACATGCACATTTCGATAATTTTCAAAATTCACTGATATCTCTTTTCGCTTGTTTTCAACGTTGAAAAACACAAAAGAATCAGTTTTTTGACAAGCAAATGATACATCACTCACCTCAAAAATTTTGTTTGTACTTTTTAGTTCATCGAAACTATAAACAAGTTTTGTCAAATCATTATTCCAAAGCTCAGGAATATTTTTTACCGTAAGCAAAATAACTCCATTTTCTACGGCAACCATGTCACTAACAAAACGTTCCTTGACAACAAAGTCAAATGTGTTGAGATTGTATATAATTACCCTTGAATTTTCTTCATTGCTCCGATACAGAAATTTTCCATTTGAGCAAAATTTTTGGTTACTTGAACTATAACTGTTAGTTAAACAGGCACGCGGTATTGTAATAAGATAAAAGTCATATCCGTATTTAAACCAAAGAACATTGTCGTTGTTCAAAATAAAATAATACATTTCTGCACCCTTAAAGGAAAATCTAGATCTGTTGTCATCAAAAGGATCAAGAGGAAAAAACGAAGTTTGAGAAGCAGGATCTACGTCAGGAAGTTTCTCACCAGTGGGATTTACAATGAAATGTTTATCCATAAAATAAGGATGGCCACAACACCAAGAATGAAGACCAACAGTAAACAAAATAAAACAAATACTGTACATAGCACAACGTAAATGATCGTCACAAACGAATGTTTCATAATTATTCGCTACATCAAATATTTGAACCACTCTTTCTTTCCCAACAACACACAAATACCTTCCAGATTTAGAAAAACACAGTGAGGTCACTTTATTAGATCTAATACTGCGTTTCTTCTCACCTTTCTTAACGTCCCATACTGTCAAAGTATATTTGTAACTAGTGACCATTGTGTATTGTTCCTTAGAAAAACATTTGTTGCTAAAGAACTTAGAAGTAGAATCATCACAATGGAAAGGACTGGAGGAAATCTTACCATTAATATCTAATATCTTATCAAGCTGAGAAGCAAAAATCAAATCTTCGAATGGATGAAAGACAACGCAAACTTCTTTGTTTTTATATTGCTTAAACTGACCAGCAATATTTTTTATCCATAAACATCTGTTTGTTCTCAATGAAAAAAGTTGCACGATGAATCCTTCATAACCACAGACGACGTAATCATGATTTCGTGAAACATCAACAGAAATCAAAATTTGATTTAAACGCAACAATTGAGCCTTTACAAAACCCGTGTCTCTGCACTCTACATATGGTAAATCTTTGAAACGTGTTTGAAGCATTGTGGTGGCTTGAGACGAAAGATCTTTGACTTCGTTGGCAACGTATTGCAAACAAATTAATTCGTTGTCAGAGAGCACAGAGTGCGTCATTACAGAATAAACTTCATTAAATAACAATCGAATGTTATCAGAAATATGAAAGTACACATCATGTGCGTTGAAAAAGGAAAAAATGTTTAAAGTCCCACGACCATCAACCAACACAGAAGCAACTAAGACTTCTAAGTCAACAAGATATTTACCAACATTTTCAACGATATAATCATTATCAGAAATATCAAGTAAATGAAGCAACCAATACTTAACTGAATACCTCACTGACGAACGTTTGATGATGTCATAGCTTACACCTTCAGCTTTGAGGTTATCCAAAGATTTTAAACAAAATTCTAAAACAAGTCGATGACCACAAGAAGTTTTGACTGAGTAATCATGTTTTCGATAATCCAACAACCAATCATTTAAAGATTTGTGAAAAAACGAAACACATCCTTGTTCATTGCTAACAAATAGACAAGAGATAATTTTTTTAACCGCAACTGAGTCGCGATTCGAATTCAAACAAAGAACGTCATTGATCATTTCCCAAGGAAGAGGTTCTTTAGCAACAGCCAGAGCACTTAAAATTGACTGAAATTTTTCGTTACTAACATGAAACGAATCTAATTCCTTACTTAATCTTGCTAGGCAAGTTTCGTAATATTCATTGAGATCTTTTGGTATGGAACCTTTCAACAAATCCTGATTTTTGACTTCGCTGCTAAGAAGTGATGCAAGCAACATAAGTCCGTCAGCCTTTTCTGCCAAAATATTTTTAAAACCAAGAATGCTGTCAGTAGCGCCAATTCTTTCTTCAATCAAAAAATTAATATCGTCTAAATTGCGTTTATCGCTGCAGTTAATGAACAGAGGATTTAATTTTTCGAACTTATTCAAAGAAACTTCGTTAGGTCTCGTAGTAATTACAAAGCGAAAACAATGCGGAAGTTTGTGCAAGTGATTAGCAATCAAATTAGCAAGGTCATCTCTTTCTGGATAACCACATTCATCAAGAGCATCAAGCACAACTAACATTCGCTTGGGAACTTCTGAGATATTACAAAACAACTCAGTAAAAAGAAGGGAAAATAATCCTTCAACATTCATGTTATTTAAAGGCTCACACAGTTGACCCGAAAGTTTCTCTACAAGAAGTTGTTTGTAAGAAGGAAACTTACGACTAACTTGCATCGCTAAAGATTGAAGAAGTACATTGGCTTTATTGTAACGACTGTTGTTGTGTTGAAAGAAATGAACTGCAGTCAAATATTGCGGATAACGTTTACATAAAGTAGCTGCAATTACAGACTTTCCCATGCCGGCAACAGCAGAAATAATAAATGCACGATTTTGAGAACTGTCGTCTTCGAACCAAGCTAAAAACTCATTAAAAACCCATTCCCGAGTTCCCTCTAAAATTTTTCATAATGATGTCTAATTTCACTTTCAAAATTACAACTTACAAGTTTTTTTGTCAAAATATCTTCTTCTGGACGTGAGTGAATTTGACGTTTTATTTCTTCCTGATTGCTTCTCATTTCTTCCTGATTCCTTTTTATTTCTTCCTGACTTCTTTTCATTTCTTCCTGATTACTTTCAATCACACACAAATGATTCTGTACATCAAATTTGAATTCGTCCCATTCTTTCACAATTCTTTCGCATTCTTCATTACCAAGCAACTCATTTTTCAATCTATCTATTTCTTCCTGACTTATTCCTAAACGAACTAATGGTTCGCTTATTTCTACCCAAAAAATTTCAAAGTCATCAGAGCTTACTGAAGTGTTAGGTAAATGAGCAAAACGATCATTACGAAATAACCTGATACGGGTAATATCTGCTTCAGTTGAATGATCATTGGGGTCATTTACTGACGTCCATATTGGATCACGAGGTGGTTTTAAAACGCAGATATTACGTAGGAGTATACAAAGTAAAGTAATGTCAAACTTATTTTCATTTGGTAATATTGGAGGATCTGGATACAGTTGATCCCACTGATGTGGATGGATTTGTCTCCTCTTTAGACTTGAAAGTAGTTGCGCATTTTCGGGATCATTTAAAACATTAAATAAATCAGTACCTGACAGTTGTTTCATCAATGTTATTCTTAAAGCTTCTCCACCAACATCAACAATTAATCTCATCAACTTAAAACCATTAGTTTTCGCGTCTGAGCTTAAAACAGACATAATATTGCTCCCTGGAGAAAAAAAGTAGGTAACACTTCCATGGTACAAATTCAATGTGATTATAAAGGAAAACCTGCGGCTGGTTACATGAAGGCAGAATAGTTTTATCCATTAGATGGCAAATTGTTTTGAACTTTTACAAAATCTTTAAAAGGAATAATATGTGATTTGAACTGAGCAATCATTGAAATAAAATATTGCTTCTAAATTACAAAATTTCTTTCCCGTAAGGAAAATATAAACACCTTTTTCTACAAGTTTGAAAATTTACTATCCGACGAATAGTGCTATCCAGGCTTCGTGCAACCGTCTATGATTTTAAGCCTTTCTGAGAAAAAAATTCAAAAATTTGGTCAAATCAACCAGCTTTTATGGCATCTTGAAGTTGTACTTTTTTCTTCTAACGCCGTCGTTTTCTATAATACAAAAGGAACTGGCACTAGAAGGTATTTTGACGTCATTCAATATGGTCAGCATTCGGGCATATTTAGCTTATAGTAAACATATACGTTCTTTCACGCTGTTTAATTATTTGTCTTGCAAAGAAAGCGATGAATCAAAACCAGAATTGAGTGTTCAGTTAGATAATTTTGACAAAAACTTTATTCCGGGATACGTGACAGAAAACTCGGAAAGCAATGAAACTTCGGCGATAATGATTCGGATTTTGACTCAAAAGCATGGATGGTCGGAAAGACACAAATTCTAATATCATCTTTTTAAGCCCTGGAAAATAGCGTTAGTTTGATTCGGCAAACTACTAAACTGACGCTCCAAATCCTCTGGTTTTAATCGAGCCGAACAAAGTGTTGAAGCACTGGAAGGCTCAAATACGCGCTTTGCTTTAAAACCCAGATATTCCGTCTTCGCTTGGCCTCAGGCCTTTTATCATTATAAGACATATTGTGAAGACTCATACGAGAGCAAAGGCTTGATTGATTCGTACAATTGGCTGCAACGCAACTATTTACCTTTTTTCTGCTTTTACTAGTGCAAAGGCAACGCTTTTAGACGCTTAAATACTCAAGTTGTGATCTGCCAGCATTGACTTGATAGCAATTGAATACACGACTCGTGTAACACGAGTACCTTGGATGATGTCAGAAAATTAGCTAGTTTCAGACTCCTCTTTATCACGGACATGGCTCACAAGAATATACGATTTTAGTGAATTTAACGCTTTTACAAAAATCAAACAATTTGACCAAATTCACAATTTTTTCTTCAACGAGGCTTAAAATCATCGACAGATTTGATATTGCTAAAAATTTTTTTGGTGGAAGGAAGAGTTTAAGATTCACTAGGTAAAATGTCTATTATTGTCACAATAAAAGAATATAAAAACATACACAGAAGGACTAAACGTTTTATCAGTCTGGCTACCGCATTGAAAATTTTATTCTTTCAAAATTCATAACCATTATCATTGTCTAGAAGGTATTATGATAAAAAAAAAATGAGCAGGTGTAATTTATTTGGACTAATACTTCATTCACGACTAAGGACCTTAGGAAGACATAATGTAATTGTGGCTAGGTTATAGAAACATATAGTATAATTTTATAGAGAACATACAGTAGATTGCATTGAATATTTTTGTGCCATGCATATCTTTTTCCGGAAGTGATTACCATATTGGCAGTCAGACACTACCATTTTTTGACCAATAGGTGCACTGAGCTTACAAACTACACCCAGTAATATAATTATATATACAGCAGTAAGTTGCACAGAAAGTGGTCCTACTGTATATTCCCTATACTGTGGTTGGGGTGACATAAACATTTGGATGTAATGATCCCTAGACAACAATGGTTTTTTAAGGAACTTAACACATGTAGCCTATATTATGCATACATAATATGATCTCCAAATTAATAATCATCCTACAGTCCTGACACAGTTTTTCTTGCTAAAAAAGGGAGTGTGTCAAGAAGTCAACAAAAGTGATGAAAGCAATAAAAATGGTCAACAAAACATTGTAATAAGAAAAACAATGAAAAATTGATGGGCATAATTTTTATGAGAGTTGACCCAAAATTGTGTAAAAGATGTAAGAATCTGTACGCCTATGACCAAACCATTTTTCATTGGTTAGATTATTATTCTAAAAAAATATAGGCAAACTACATGAAATAGCTAGCAACTGAAGAATAAAAACATATCATCATGTACATAAATTAATATGAGCACCACCCAACAATTATTGATCTTCCTGTACATGAATGAATCCAAGTAAATAGACAAATCTTGTAACAAAAATATATTTAGCGACCACATATTGTCCACAATCATTGATCATTTATAAAAGACGTAGAACACATATAAAATATTGACTTTAGTATGTTATTTCTGTAGCAAATCAACACATATCAACAAACAAGTTTTATCATATCAAAGGTTCAAAATAAGTTGATTTACGTAACTAAGTGATGAAAACCCTCTACAACGATCATTTTAAAATCAAACGATGACAAAAATAACTTTCGAACATGAAATAATCTTGTTAAACACAGTGATTTAATGTTCTTCTTCATTTATATTCATTTCCTGTACAATGTTTGAAATCTAACTTGAATATCTTGTTTATGTTTGTTGTATTTTATGGTTTGACAATAACCATGTTTAAATGCCTATCAAGAATAACAAAGCAAACTAGTTTTAAGGTCGAATCATACCTACATTAGTCAAAGTCTTAAGTAAATATTAAATAAAAAACCGTCTTTGTTCTACTTAGATAGATACGTAAATTAAATTTAAATCAAGTCGCCATCTAAGGATAAAAAAACCTTTATCTTACCGTTTTATTAGATGGAAGGAATATTTCTTGATATCGTGATCATATATCGCCAGAAAAATATCTCCAACTTACGTTGACGTGGATGATATTTGACAACATAAAGATTTTGAATATTTCTCACAGCAGGCTCAGCTTCCTTATTTATGTGCAAGGTGTGCTACGCGCGCGATCTCGCGTGACTTCCACGTATGTATAGTCAAAGGTCTTACAATTTGGGCAACTCTCAACACAATATAACCAACCGTTAACTCAAACACTTTCACCAAACCGTTCATTAAAATATCTCATATGTAAATAGTAAAACAGGAAAAAAATAGGACGCAATAAGAACGAATGACTTTACTACATTTTTACAATGCATATGAAAAACGAGAATGTTTTTAGGGTTTGTCATAGCAAATGTTTTTCAATACCTGTGCTGGGCTATTCAAAACCTATGCTAGGTTTTTCAATACCTATGTCACGCGTTAGTGCTAATTAGCAGGCCGTCATGAATGTGAGTGTAATTTTATAATGAGAATATGAAAACTTTTATTGTCAATTGTTTCTCGGTGTTGTCAATTCCTTGGAGAAGATGGAAAAATTCATTTTATTTCATGGAAATTATGAAAAAACCCATGAAAGGGGGATGACCACCTTTAAGAGCATAGCTATAAATGGTACTGTATCATCTGTGTTGTGTCAGCTGTAGTCGGTGTATTCATTGTATTGATCAATTTTCAGTCATAAGCAAAACATTATAAATGTAAATTTTAATGTTTAATACGAAGCCAGATATTAGCGCAACTTTCAATTTAACTGTCCTCTGTCCAAGATCAACTCACCAACGCGTAGTCTATGAGTGTGGTTGGTCCAAAATTCATAACATTCTATACTTGAGACTGACAAAATCTTTAGAATGTTAACATTATGCCAGCACTAACGAAAAGCGTTACAGTAAAAGCGCATTTGATTAATGAACTTTCTACAATATTTGGTGCTTGTAGCAACTTCATTATACTATTGTAAGCCTTTACAGTTCACAGAAAATTATTGCGTGTGCATTTAGATATTTCTTAGCACTGATAACAAATCTCTAAAAAATAATAAAACATAAAATGAGCGTTGATGCTAGACACCCCCGGATTGTTTACATTACTACTGACACCTCACCGGAAACTTTACACTAAATGACTCATTCGTCGACCTTTTTGCGCAATTAACCGTTTGAAAGTTGAGCGAAAATCTTGAATGTCCATCGACTTTGTTAATTCCAGATGTAATGCTCTCGTAACTGCACATATATATACTACAATCCAGGCTTTTCTTTCAATATTTTTCCTTTTACGATACTTTTATCGGGCCATCGTAGTCCACATGCACCAGTTACTTGGAACGGTAAACGCCACTCTCTACGGACTCTAGGTATATTTTCTGAGAAAGGGCTTGGTTAGGGAACGGCTTGAAATTTTTTACATCCGTGACAACGCTTTATGACTCGTTTCACAATTTGTTTTAATCTTGGAACACAGTAACTTTCACGTACCTTCGCCTATTGTTAAACTTGCTCCCCCATGAAGGGTGACATATTGGGAATTTTGAACATTTTTTTTGATAACACATCACTTTTGGGCAAGTAAATTGGTTAATCTCCTTGGATTCGTCTATTAAACTTCACGCCTCTCATGATCCTAACAAAATTTACTTCAAGCCTCTCCTGATGCAGCTTCTCCTAATCTTTACAAAATTTTGCAGTGTACATGTCTAGATTTCGGGCTTGGACTTGTTTTATCAAACAATTTCTCCGATTTTTGATTTTCTTTGTTGTCAATGGACCACTCTTCTTTTGTCCTAGTTTTCTACTGTTCTGGATAAATCTTGACATCCATCCACAAGGTTTTCCAGAGATCGTATTTGTTCAGCAATTCATCGAATTTGTCATGTAGAAAGGTTGCAGTTTTAAATATTTGTGTTATAGGTTTGCTTCCGTGGTATTGTGAGGTCCTTCTTAGCAAGACAAGATTTGGCAGCCACCAGGCCCTTGCACATACCAATCTCTTGATGGACAATGGCCATCACTATTTCCCCAACTCCATGACTGCTAGCATCAGCAAAGGTATGCAGCTCGATTTTTTTAATGATTTCCCGGAAACACACGATACGTTGTGGAAGTTTGATAGATTGTGGAAAATATATTTCCCAGGACGACCATTTATCTTTGATTTGTGTGGTAATTCCTCGCCCCACGATAACTTGGCACCACAGCAGTCTCGATGGTGGAGCTTGGCCAACAACGTGACGGAAGCCATTAAACTCAGTGGGTCATAAATCTTCGCTGTCTTAGCTACCATCTCACGCTTCGTGGTGTGAGACATGCCCGTAGGTATCTGAACTTTGATGAGATCTTTCTTTTTGTCCATAATAGCCCAGGAATTGTTTCTTCGCCTGTCTTCACTCTCAATTAATGCTTTGCATATGTAGTCTCACTCGTCGAAGATTGTTGCGGTTGTACGGATTCCAGTTAAGGTACGTTGGAGTGCCACTTGTGCAAGGTAAACTGCTCGTCGGCGAAGATTAATTCCTTCATTTGCACGTACAATGGTTTCAGCTGACTGATTAAACACTGGTTTACAAGGCAAGTAGAACTCTTTGCCGTGACCCTCCATTTTTGCTACCTCTACTATTTCTTTTCCCCGCCCCTAACATTAAACGTACGTGGAGTTTTCCTTTGTCGTCATCATCATTCATGCTTATGCCACTTAGATGCGTGTACTCTGAAATTAATTTTGCATACTTTAGATTGTCAAGTATTAAAAGTTCTCTTTTTGCTTCTCGTGTTACTTCAGTTTGAATTTGAAATTCCTCTTTTACGTCAGTCATTTTTAACTGATGAATTCCTACTAATATTGTTGTTTTGCCAAAGGTCATCTCAACAGATCGGATTTCCCTCTTATTAAGTTGTTGCTTAAAAATGTCGAGGAATGTTTTGAGGAGGCGCAAGAGCTTCCCGCCCCCGTATCAATTAGAGCATGACATTTACACCCATTCACTTTACCAACAATAACGTGATGAACTACTGCTTTGGACTCATTAGTATTCAGTAATCGATCATTCGTTCAACTGATGGTAGCTTGGTTTTCACAGGAATTTTTGCATATAGAATTATGATGCCTTTCCTTGTAATAGCGCAGTTGGATTTGCTACAGCACTCGAAAGCCCCATGTCCCTCCCCAGTGCAAGACAGCAATGAGCACTCATCTCACAACGCTACTGAATATTTAAGCTGCAATACATGACATGTTCTATAGTTTTATCACAGTATTGCGAATATACATTAGGTCATCTTCGCTGTGCAACTTGCTGCTGTCTATTTAGATTACTGGCTGTCATTTGCCAGCTCATTTCAACTATTAGTCAAAAAAGCAATTGACTGCCTGCCACTATGATAATCACATGCGTAATGAGATACGCGTGGCACAAAAAAATTGAATGGAGTGGCTCTACTGTATGTTCTTTATACTGTGGTTTTATGCTACGACAGGATTAATTACGTTGGTTCTATAGATTATAATTTATACCTGTATATTTGTTCTTTTTGCAGGTAGCCATAAAAAACTTTTAGTTAAGGGCTGTTCACATGAGCCCGAGTAAACGGGTTCCAGCGAGGCGTGAAATGATTTTGAGTAAGTGAAAGGAGTAAAAAGTTAAATTGCAAAAGTAACAACTTTTCTTAAGCGTCATAAGTCATTTTACTTTCAATTTTCAAATCAGACTAAATTATTTGTTTTCGTTTTTAAAGATTTTATAAATTTGCAAAGTCAGAGCATAGAGAAATTGTTCAAATAAGTTTTTTATTGTGAAGTACTAAATCTTTTTCATTTGCCAAAATGATTTAACGCTTCGCTGAATCCCGGTTACCTGGCTCATGTGAACAATCCCTTAATCCTGCTGCGTCTAAAGTCGCATTGGGAACAAGCTACACTGATTTATTCTTATTCATTCAAACTCTGTTACTCAAGTGTTTGCATTTACTTCAGACAGATAGCGCTCTACCAAAGATTCAAATACCTGAACTTTACATACAGTACAACCATTTAAAACAAAAGATGACGAGGAGTTTTATCTCAAATTCTTTTATTTCCAATGCATTCGGTTGATGTAAATTTCTGCGTTTGAAACTGACCTAATAACGCACTCCTTCCTGAGGAAAGCTCGTTCAAGTGGAGAGAGGAGGCACAATAGCACAAGTGTATACGCTATTCAAAAGAACGCTGAATTTTAATCAATTGATTGCTTGATGATAGAAGAAGTGATGGTATGCTCCTCCCCGACACTCCTGTTCCGCGGTATCTTAGATACAGACCAATAAATCGCTTGTTCACAGCTTAAAACACATAATTTGTGAAAACGCTTCACTTTCTGCTGCTTTAATACGGACTACGGAGTTGTTCGGAATTTGAATCTGAATTTGCATAACTAATGCAAGAATAATAAAATTACAGACTATGGAAACTTACAGTTGACTTACATTTAGACTATTGAAATTTTGCCATAATTTATCAAAAAGTCATGGAACTTTTTAAGAACTCTTAATAAAAATAATTTTGATTCTACAACTTATTCGTTACTAACATAGTTTCTAGACCGTTTAGTTTTGATTACTTCGTAAAAAGTGGCCACCAGTTTTTCATTATAAAACTTGGTCAGTCAAGAGAGAGAATGTTGTGTTACGTACTTTCACCTGGGTCTAAAGAAGTTAACTTTCCTCAAGAGTCAAGACCATGTTGTGTTACGTACTTTCACCTGGGTCTAAATAAGTAAACTTTCCTCAAGAGTCTAGACCATGTTGTGTTACGTACTTTCACCTGGGTCTAAAGAAGTTAACTTTCCTCAAGAGTCAAGACAATGTTGTGTTACGTACTTTCACCTGGGTCTAAAGAAGTTAACTTTCCTCAAGAGTCAAGACCATGTTGTGTTACGTACTTTCACCTGGGTCTAAAGAAGTTAACTTTCCTCAAGAGTCAAGACCATGTTGTGTTACGTACTTTCACCTGGGTCTAAAGAAGTTAACTTTCCTCAAGAGTCAAGACCATGTTGTGTTACGTACTTTCACCTGGGTCTAAAGAAGTAAACTTTCCTCAAGAGTCAAGACCATGTTGTGTTACGTACTTTCACCTGGGTCTAAAGAAGTAAACTTTCTTCAAGAGTCAAGACCATGTTGTGTTACGTACTTTCACCTGGGTCTAAAGAAGTTAACTTTCCTCAAGAGTCAAGACCATGTTGTGTTACGTACTTTCACCTGGGTCTAAAGAAGTAAACTTTCCTCAAGAGTCAAGACCATGTTGTGTTACGTACTTTCACCTGGGTCTAAAGAAGTTAACTTTCCTCAAGAGTCAAGACCATGTTGTGTTACGTACTTTCACCTGGGTCTAAAGAAGTAAACTTTCCTCAAGAGTCAAGACCATGTTGTGTTACGTACTTTCACCTGGGTCTAAAGAAGTAAACTTTCCTCAAGAGTCAAGACCATGTTGTGTTACGTACTTTCACCTGGGTCTAAAGAAGTAAACTTTCCTCAAGAGTCAAGACCATGTTGTGTTACGTACTTTCACCTGGGTCTAAAAAGTAAACTTTCCTCAAGAGTCAAGACCATGTTGTGTTACGTACTTTCACCTGGGTCTAAAGAAGTAAACTTTCCTCAAGAGTCAAGACCATGTTGTGTTACGTACTTTCACCTGGGTCTAAAGAAGTAAACTTTCCTCAAGAGTCAAGACCATGTTGTGTTACGTACTTTCACCTGGGTCTAAAGAAGTAAACTTTCCTCAAGAGTCAAGACCATGTTGTGTTACGTACTTTCACCTGGGTCTAAAGAAGTAAACTTTCCTCAAGAGTCAAGACCATGTTGTGTTACGTACTTTCACCTGGGTCTAAAGAAGTAAACTTTCCTCAAGAGTCAAGACCATGTTGTGTTACGTACTTTCACCTGGGTCTAAAGAAGTAAACTTTCCTCAAGAGTCAAGACCATGTTGTGTTACGTACTTTCACCTGGGTCTAAAAGTAAACTTTCCTCAAGAGTCAAGACCATGTTGTGTTACGTACTTTCACCTGGGTCTAAAAAGTAAACTTTCCTCAAGAGTCAAGACCATGTTGTGTTACGTACTTTCACCTGGGTCTAAAGAAGTAAACTTTCCTCAAGAGTCAAGACCATGTTGTGTTACGTACTTTCACCTGGGTCTAAAGAAGTAAACTTTCCTCAAGAGTCAAGACCATGTTGTGTTACGTACTTTCACCTGGGTCTAAAGAAGTAAACTTTCCTCAAGAGTCAAGACCATGTTGTGTTACGTACTTTCACCTGGGTCTAAAGAAGTAAACTTTCCTCAAGAGTCAAGACCATGTTGTGTTACGTACTTTCACCTGGGTCTAAAAAGTAAACTTTCCTCAAGAGTCAAGACCATGTTGTGTTACGTACTTTCACCTGGGTCTAAAGAAGTAAACTTTCCTCAAGAGTCAAGACCATGTTGTGTTACGTACTTTCACCTGGGTCTAAAGAAGTAAACTTTCCTCAAGAGTCAAGACCATGTTGTGTTACGTACTTTCACCTGGGTCTAAAGAAGTAAACTTTCCTCAAGAGTCAAGACCATGTTGTGTTACGTACTTTCACCTGGGTCTAAAGAAGTAAACTTTCCTCAAGAGTCAAGACCATGTTGTGTTACGTACTTTCACCTGGGTCTAAAGAAGTAAACTTTCCTCAAGAGTCAAGACCATGTTGTGTTACGTACTTTCACCTGGGTCTAAAGAAGTAAACTTTCCTCAAGAGTCAAGACCATGTTGTGTTACGTACTTTCACCTGGGTCTAAAAAGTAAACTTTCCTCAAGAGTCAAGACCATGTTGTGTTACGTACTTTCACCTGGGTCTAAAGAAGTAAACTTTCCTCAAGAGTCAAGACCATGTTGTGTTACGTACTTTCACCTGGGTCTAAAGAAGTAAACTTTCCTCAAGAGTCAAGACCATGTTGTGTTACGTACTTTCACCTGGGTCTAAAGAAGTAAACTTTCCTCAAGAGTCAAGACCATGTTGTGTTACGTACTTTCACCTGGGTCTAAAGAAGTAAACTTTCCTCAAGAGTCAAGACCATGTTGTGTTACGTACTTTCACCTGGGTCTAAAGAAGTAAACTTTCCTCAAGAGTCAAGACCATGTTGTGTTACGTACTTTCACCTGGGTCTAAAGAAGTAAACTTTCCTCAAGAGTCAAGACCATGTTGTGTTACGTACTTTCACCTGGGTCTAAAGAAGTTAACTTTCCTCAAGAGTCAAGACAATGTTGTGTTACGTACTTTCACCTGGGTCTAAAGAAGTTAACTTTCCTCAAGAGTCAAGACCATGTTGTGTTACGTACTTTCACCTGGGTCTAAAGAAGTAAACTTTCCTCAAGAGTCAAGACCATGTTGTGTTACGTACTTTCACCTGGGTCTAAAGAAGTAAACTTTCCTCAAGAGTCAAGACCATGTTGTGTTACGTACTTTCACCTGGGTCTAAAGAAGTAAACTTTCCTCAAGAGTCAAGACCATGTTGTGTTACGTACTTTCACCTGGGTCTAAAGAAGTTAACTTTCCTCAAGAGTCAAGACCATGTTGTGTTACGTACTTTCACCTGGGTCTAAAGAAGTAAACTTTCCTCAAGAGTCAAGACCATGTTGTGTTACGTACTTTCACCTGGGTCTAAAGAAGTAAACTTTCCTCAAGAGTCAAGACCATGTTGTGTTACGTACTTTCACCTGGGTCTAAAGAAGTTAACTTTCCTCAAGAGTCAAGACCATGTTGTGTTACGTACTTTCACCTGGGTCTAAAGAAGTAAACTTTCCTCAAGAGTCAAGACCATGTTGTGTTACGTACTTTCACCTGGGTCTAAAAAGTTAACTTTCCTCAAGAGTCAAGACCATGTTGTGTTACGTACTTTCACCTGGGTCTAAAGAAGTTAACTTTCCTCAAGAGTCAAGACCATGTTGTGTTACGTACTTTCACCTGGGTCTAAAAAGTAAACTTTCCTCAAGAGTCAAGACCATGTTGTGTTACGTACTTTCACCTGGGTCTAAAGAAGTTAACTTTCCTCAAGAGTCAAGACAATGTTGTGTTACGTACTTTCACCTGGGTCTAAAGAAAAACTTTCCTCAAGAGTCAAGACCATGTTGTGTTACGTACTTTCACCTGGGTCTAAAGAAGTAAACTTTCCTCAAGAGTCAAGACCATGTTGTGTTACGTACTTTCACCTGGGTCTAAAGAAGTTAACTTTCCTCAAGAGTCAAGACAATGTTGTGTTACGTACTTTCACCTGGGTCTAAAGAAGTTAACTTTCCTCAAGAGTCAAGACAATGTTGTGTTACACTTTCACCTGGGTCTAAAAGTTAACTTTCCTCAAGAGTCAAGACCATGTTGTGTTACGTACTTTCACCTGGGTCTAAAGAAGTTAACTTTCCTCAAGAGTCAAGACAATGTTGTGTTACGTACTTTCACCTGGGTCTAAAGAAGTTAACTTTCCTCAAGAGTCAAGACAATGTTGTGTTACGTACTTTCACCTGGGTCTAAAGAAGTAAACTTTTCCTCAAGAGTCAAGACCACAAGACATGGTTTTACAAGGTTTAAAAAAAACTTTCGCGCTTTAGCGTGCTGTCAGCTGAGAATTATGAGATATCAAGGCCTGTTTCATACGTCGCATTTTACATACGCCGAATGCATTAGAGAAAAAAGAACATGAGATAAAATTCCTCATTATCTTTTAAATGTATTTGCCTCAAGTAAAATGTGACGTATAAAACAGGCCCAAGCCTCGCCTACACTTTTAATTTTAAGCTTCAAATTTACGGCAATAGTTCACTCACCAATTTAGTAAATTATTTTCGAACGACTTAAAATTATAGCATTCAAATCAAAATTCAAAAATATTGTTGTTGGCTTCCAAAGTCGAAACACATGGCGCATGCTGTAACCATGACGACGTACGTAAAAAATTTATTTTATATTATACAAATACTTTGGTGAAATGCGTCGTCAGATCTTAATGTAACTCACGACAATGACATAAGGCTACTTAGAATGTGAGAAGAAAATAATAGAACAGCAAGTTCTTCGTACTAGAAAAAATTTATTTCTAGTACAAAGTTTCAAGATACTGGCCATTAGCAAAGCCAAAGCGAGGAGAAAAAAAGATAAAGCCCCCAAGGCCAACGCTATATTGACATATTTATTCCACACATTAATCGCCCACGTATGTCATTGAAGATGTCACGTGTTATTTTACTTTAACATCCCCTCAGGCCCTCACTTACGAAGGTTTACAATGCTCTACGAAGTTGTGATACATGATATTTTCCCTTTCCAAAAGGAATTCTTAGTTCAAGTAATATATGCTCTAGATGATTAGATGAGCAAATGATCAGAGAAGGCAAAATCATGAGAAAACTTTGAAAATTCAGATCTCTAGAAGGCTGAAAATGGCCATTTTATAGATAACTTTTTTAAAGTCATTATGTTACTTCATCTCCTTATTTGATTAGAAATTATTGGATACAAAAAATATCAAGTTGTTTTTCCCCATAATATCTCTAACCTGTATGTACTTTCCTATTAATGACATTGGCATTATATTGGACGTGACGATATTTTAACCTTAATTAACTTACTTGAGTAAGTCTACATTTTACTATGGACTAATGATAAAAATTTTCTATTTATGTTCTAATTTACTCTTTCTATTCCATAACAGGGGCGTAGCAAACTCGTTGATGAGGAAGGGGGGAGGGTTCAAATTTATGAATGCATGTCTTAATCTATAGAAAACAGTGGATTTCAAAAAGAATTTAATTCTTGCAGAGCATCAATGTATGAATACGTTCTCCCCAATTATTGAGTTTCCTAAAAATTGCATATGGATTTAATATTTGTGATCATTGTAACAATTTCAATGGTTGTAAAACGATAAATTGTATTTCGACATGCCATAACAGATAACTTTTTTAAAGTCATTATATTACTTGCTCTACGGAAATAGCAACATCTTAGACTTTATTTTTCAAAACAATTTTTCCAAACAGATTGCTGACCTCAAGGTCTATTAATTCAAGTCCATTTAGTTCATCTTGATTTGTTTCCTGAAGTGAATTGGCATCATCAACTTGATTGGATTAATCTGTCAGAAATTATAGAAATTAGTAAAAAGGTTTTTTTTTGTCTGAAAATGTAGTCGAGAACAGTATGTAGTGAACGCTCTTGTTATTTCCAATTAATTTAACTTGTGACGTCATACTGCACATAATGAGTTCCCACAATAATTCAAATACTCTTCAGTTTCCTGACAACTTCAGGTTGATACTAGTAGGCAGCATTTTATACCATTAACCCCGTCACAATGAAAAGAGCTCTGTCATTGTGAAGTTAAGTATCAGTAAATATACCTAATAATTTTAGTTTTCATTATGCAATGTGACGTCATAAGTTAGATATATCGGACATAGCAAGAACCTCAATATCACAAGAATTAAAAGTGATATGCATAAACTGGTTTGGAATGTCCATTGTCATTTTAAAAAATCTCTTCAATAAAAGTATTCCTTAGATAGCAAACTTTCGTTTTATAGGCACTTTAAGAAATTGAACAATTCGCTTT